TTTTGGAAACTGGTTTATAAGCAAAGAAGATAGTTTTTTTTAGTATCCACTGAATTTTTTTTTCAACTTCAATGACGTTTACGGTCATAAAAGCATTAAAATCAAATACAGCTTTCATCAACACTGAACACCATCCAGTATCTCTAAATAATAACAAATTATAACGGTCAATATCCAAGATGGTCACCTGTCAGCCATTTTAATTTTTTAACTATTTCAAAACTGAAAGGGCATTACACGTGACAAAAAAAAGCTATATATGAAATTTGAGAAAGACCCATCAGGTACTTCAGCAGAGATACTGATAACTGAGTTCGTGTAAAAATACAAGATTGCAGCGAAGCTGTCGGCCAGTTTGCATTTTTTATCAATCTCAAAATTGAAAAGGGCATTACTACAGACCAAGGGAAAGCAACATATGAGAATGATCTATTCAGTTCTTCACCAGAGAGAGTGATAACAAATTAAAAATGTCTAAATGGAAAATGACCACCTGTCCGCTATCTTGTTTTTCTGACCAGTCTCAAAACTAAAAGGCTGCTTCTAAGGACCAAGGGAAATGTGCCAATGAAATTTGAAAAAGATCAATCCAGGACTTCTCAAGATATAGGAAAAAATAAACTTCAATTGCTAAAATCCAAGATGGCCACCTGTCCGCCATTTTGTATATTTGATTAATCTCAAAATAGAGAGGACTGTGAGTGACCAAGGGAGTCTTTATATGAAATATATAGAGATGATTTTAAATACAGAACTGATTTCATATGGAATTTATAATTAGTATCAATGCAAACTTGACAAATAGAATGTGAACCAATGAAGTACTTACATGTGTAAAGAAAACTGAAAGTCGGATTTAAAAATAATGGTTGGGATCTGCAGTGGTAACACACTCTGTTGCCTTTCACCTAGGCATCTGAGGTTCAGTTACCTGAGCAGATGGGGAAAGCTATGAGGTCACCTACCTGATGGGTTATCCCCAGGTATTCCAGTTTCCTCCCACAGTAAGATCCTCCACAGACTTACATGGGGCCAACAAATATGATTGATATAAGTTAGAACATAGCTTGTTTCACAGTTGTTGTAAAGTAAATAAAGCTGTGATATGATAACCAAAGAGACATTCTATAATTGTTCTGTCAAATCTTTAAGTACAATACTACACAATAAAGTCTAATTTGAAAGCTGCCCTGTAGAGCGTCATCTTATCTCTTTTTCCTTCTCAAGGAAAAATTCCCAGATGAAAATATATCGCGATACAAATGATGCGATTTGAATTGAAGATGACAGCATCTCAATCATGAATCGGGAAACATGCAATTCCGATGTCGTTAATTTGACAGGCGCTGATCATCCGTCCTCCCTGCGGCTTAAAAGTCAGGATGGCGACACACAATGTAATTACTGGTAAAATCCATCTTAACATTGACAATGGAAAAAAGTTAAGGACCATCGTTACACACAGAAAATATAGAATGAGATACTTCCCTGTCTTAGCAGCTCAACTTTCAATGAATACAACCTTGGTGTGAAAACAAGCCTGTTGTTAAAATTTAAGGACCAACATTTCACACACAAATAGTATTTTGAGATGGTTCCTTATAAAAGCTGAAAAAAGTATATTGAGACGGCCCCCTTTAAATGCTAAACTTTATGTTAAGAACCATCAAGGCAAAGCAATAAAATGATTTATACTGTAGTGGATTCAGCAATAAGGCCATTCCTTGTAATAAGCCCATCCATTTCTTAATTTTTTCAGAAAAAATACAAATAAATGAGACGTCCCTGTATTAATCCAATCGCCCTTTACTATGAATTCTAGTTTGGTGTTAAGGCTCCCTGGGCTTATTAAAGGGTCGGGAACGTATCAGCCATTTTAGGAGAGTTGATACTCCCTCCTCTACTGTTCTTAAATAGGCATAATTTTCCATAAATTACACAAAGCTATAAATGTATAAGGATTATAGCTAGTAAGTATCACTGAACTTAGCACTGAAATCCAGTAGTTTACGAGGTGCAGCTGGTATATTGTTGTATTTAGGTTATACTTATAATCACAAAAAATTAAAATATCAAAAACGTTTGTATCTACTGAAAAAGCAAACATCTTAACAACAATGATGAGCATTATTTTTCATGTTTCTTGATGTTTTGGAAGAATTTTTGGAAAATTTGTAAATTGGGATGGATTTTTTGTGATTGTTCAGGGAGTTGGCTTAAATCTGAAATAATTTCTTCAATTAGGAATGAGGCCCATTATTGGCTCCCAAAAGCCTTAAAAGAAGTTCTAAATATGCACAAACGATCTGGTTCTTTGTGTAAATATTTCCCTTTTCATGCTTTACTATTTGTACATGCGTTTTTTACTCCCATAAATCTCACCCGTCCATTCCAGATGCTAAATTACAAATTTTATACAGTAGCCTAAAAGGCTGCTTACATAATACAGGGGATTAATACTGTGTCCTAGAAAGATAGACACTAATTACGAAATTTCTATAAAATTATTAATAAAATGTTAGCAATGGTATGTTAGCTTGTAAAAATACTGAACATCGTTGGTGGTCAGATCCAATGCAGAGCTTGTAAATATTTGTTCTTTCTTTAAAGGGGATGCTGGTTATTATCCAAGTAATGTACAAGGTAACTTATATATAAATTCTCCATTGTGGTCAAGCATGATCTTTGACCCTTTAATCTTGACCAGGGCCTGATGATATCGCTGTTGTCCATAATAGATAAAAACCTCTGGTAATAAAAATCTCTGGTTCTTTTATTGATAATATCACTGATGGTTTTTACTTTGATGAAATCTCTGGTAATATCACTGATGGTTCTAATATTAATAGTGATGAAATCTCTGGTAATATCACTGATGGTTTTTACTTTGATGAAATCTCTGGTAATATGGCTGATGGTTCTAATATTAATAGTGATAAAATCTCTGGTAATATCACTGATGGTTCTAATATCAATAGTGATGAAATCTCTGGTAATATCACTGATGGTTTTTACTTTGATGAAATCTCTGGTAATATCACTGATGGTTCTAATATCAATAGTGATGAAATCTCTGATAATATCACTGATGGTTCTAATATTAATAGTGATAAAATCTCTGGTAATATCACTGATGGTTTTTACTTTGATGAAATCTCTGGTAATATCACTGATGGTTCTAATATTAATAGTGATGAAATCTCTGGTAATATCACTGATGGTTTTTACTTTGATGAAATCTCTGGTAATATGGCTGATGGTTCTAATATTAATAGTGATAAAATCTCTGGTAATATCACTGATGGTTCTAATATTAATAGTGATGAAATCTCTGGTAATATCACTGATGGTTTTTACTTTGATAAAATCTCTGGTAATATCACTGATGGTTCTAATATTAATAAAAACTCTGGTAATATGGCTGATGGTTCTAATATTAATAGTGATAAAACCTCAGATACTATCACTGATGGTTCTTACTTTGAAACAATACCTAATAAAAATCACAGAAGGTCCTTATCTCAAATTAATCAATCATACAAGTAACGATGGTTCTTATCTGAGTGGTTTTTACAATATCAGGGATGACTATTGGACCTTATCACGATAAAAATGCATTTCCAGACATAACACCAATAGTTATTACTGCTTTCTCTTATCTACAGATTCTATTTTTTCCTATTAAAGCTTAACAACAGACAATGCAATTTAAGATATATGTCAAGACCAATTGTATATTGTTAAGAGCTAAGAAATGTCTTCAATAGTTATTTGAGATTGAATCAATGTCCGGCAAGAAACCAATTCTGCTGTCCTAAATATTGGACAGAAGTTGATTCAAAATTTAACATTCCTGACAGATATGACAATAATAAGGATGCTGTTCATGGAAATAAATTGTACAGGGGCCATTTTGGTATGAAGTTTGTTTAGCAGATATAATCATTCCTGGAATATTCCGTCGATATCTAACACAATTCAATAATAAATAAATAGATAAATAAATAAATAAATATATCAGGATCTTCACCTAATAATATATGACAAGAATGTATCATGACTTGATTGAATCTTATGTTTAAAGTCAGCAGCTGGACCTCTCAAAAGGATGGAAGTAACTTGACAGAATCAAAGGTTTAAAGTCAGCAGCTGGACCTCTCAAAAGGATCAAAATAACTTGATTGAATCTTAGGTTTGAGAGGTTCAGCTAAAAAAATTTCAAACCTAAGATATTAAACCTAAGATTCAGTCAAGTCGTTTCCATCTGTTTGCCATTGAACCAATCAGAAAACAAATTATTTGATAGATCTGCAATTTATCAAATGTCGGATCAAAATTCAACGAGAATTTGAAGACATAATATCAGACATAAAAATACACAACATATATTCTCCATAAAAAATGAAAAATTACAATTAATGTATAACTTAAAATTTGTTATTTATAACTTATAAAAACTTCTGTTCGACAATACTTTCAAATAATTTTCATCAATATATATAACCTATTAGCCCTATATAAGTAATGGATTCTTCTATCCTTTGAGTTGGACAAGTCCACATTTGGTGTTTAGGGATGAAAGAGTTAACAATATTAGTGATTTTTCTCAACAGTGTCAAATTTCAGATATCTTTGCCTAAGGATTGAGTTGTGAATATTTAACTTGCAAATTTCAGTTGAGATGTTGTTGTATTACATTTGTTAAATTCCTTTTTCTTCAACTCCAAAAAATGATGTGGCTAAAATGAGATATTCTGGTTTTGACACCAAATAACAAAACCAGCCTGTGATGAAATAACTTTGTTAGATAGTATATGGATAACACTACATACATCCAGTGTAACAACCGATACATAAAAAATGTAATTTAAACCGATCACGATACATCAGAACCCTTGTTCAAATGCAAACTCAAAAAAAAACCCATTGTAATCCAAACTAACAGGAAATTTTCTTTTTTTAATTTGTCTCTCTGAAAAATAAAACCTATGTAGGCTTACCTTAATCATGACAACGCTTCGGTAACCAAGGCTACAAGTAGGAAAAGGTAGAGAATGCTGATTGGTCCATTCACACAACCGTCACTGGTCAAGATAACCACATGACTGTTTGGTGCCCACACTGGATAACTGGTTTCCTGGTCAGCTCAATCTGAAAACAATTTACACACAGTTAACAAATACTCAGCTGAAAAAGAATTGAAATTTGTTTCATCAAATGTGTAAGGGGGATTGTCTTTTGATCAAACAAAAAGAATAGAATATATAAAATTAGGATTCTCTATCCAACAGCTTCAGTCACTACCTCTTCACCATTGGTTGATAATTTTCTGGTTATCAAGGGGAGGCAACTCCATTCAATCTAAATAGTTGAGTTTTCATTTTTAAAAAAATCACATGTGTCTTCAATTATTTTGGTGAAATATTACCCAAACTTTAAAATTTTGCATCCTGAGAACCACATTTAGAGAGTGAGGATGTTTTATGCCTCAGAAAAGAAACCGGTATCTTCATTGTTACAAAACAATTACAAACCCTAATGCTGACTTACAGATTGAGAATGATTACAAAAATGAAACATGCTCCTTATGATAATATCACAATTCATAATTCATTTCTTATCACTTTCACAATACCTTTCAACTGCTTTGCAATTATCATTGAAACAGTATTTTACAGCACCTGGTTTCCTGAAGCACTTCAAAGTTAACAACTTATTAAAATTTAATTTTTTATAGCAAAACATCAAATTTTCCTCTTTTAAATCTCGATTTTTAAGTAGACATTAAAAAATTTGAGTTTTTAAAATAGGTACGTCGCTATAGTTTTTCTTTTTTTTCAAAAAATTATTTTGGATAACTAAAATTCCAATTCCATGCTATCTATATATGATGAACAAAAAGTTCATCACTGATGAAGTTTATTTTTTCCCCTAAAGATATTTACCATAAAATTCATTCACATCTTGAAACACACATAAGGTACAAGTACATTTCACATGTCATGAACATGGTGATTTTGTCTTTCATTAAAATTGATGTCACTGAAATCAATCTGACTAGAAAAAAACACAGAGATAAAAACAAAAATTAAAATCAATATTAATCAATTTCAAATAGATTTTGTTTAAGCGATATACAAAAAAATGTACAAAATGTGTTACAAAATCTCAAACAGAGAAAAAAAAATTACTATACCTGCTATTTGGGCACACCAATATATAATTCTCATAAATTGTGTCAAAATAAAAGATAGAAAGAAAAAAGATATTCCTCTGTCCAAATCTCAAGTTATTAAACCAATAACTCTGGAAGACATGTTTGCCATACACCAGGCCAGGAAGAACAGGGGGTAACTTGTGGCTTACAGCTGTTACAATGATAAGCACGAAGGCCATCAAAAGTTTTGTCAGCTTTCCAAACATTTTGTATCAATAATCAATTGCTTCATTTCTAATAATAATGTAATTATGTTTTTAGTATTCATTTCCAATAAAGGATTATTCATAACTTTGTATATTTTATTTTGGTATAGAAATATAGTACCAGATTTGAAACTTTGATGCCGGAAAAATTTGGAATCAATTTCTAATGAAGCTGATTATACTTTGAATAATGGACCCAGGCCGAACTTGGACTGTGTACTTTTACTATCTTTGACATGTTATTGTAAAAGTTCTGGTTAGTCTTAGGGAAGACAGGATAGCAGTGTTAGTAGTTATAAATGGGAGGGTGAGGGGGTCAATGTGTTCAAAGGAAGGGGGCATGTGTGTTATTGTGGGGTGGGGCTTGGGAGCAGGGCGGAGCCAGAAGAGGAAAGGAATGTGAATAGGTGGGGTGGGGGATCTGGAAATGTGAAAATTGGTGGGAATTGGGGTGTTCAGGTTGGATTTAAGGGTTGGGAAAGGGGAGTGTGTACAAGGGGGTGGGACTGGAGGGGTATGTGGGGTTAGGAAAGGTTGTGTGGACATGTGGGGGTTGGGATACAGAAGGGGAGTGTGTGTATGAGGTAGGTGTGTGTGTATGTCAGTGTAAAGGTGGGAGGGATAGTGTGTATGTCAGTGTAAAGGTGGGAGGGTATGTGTGTATGTCAGTGTAAAGGTGGGAGGGATAGTGTGTATGTCAGTGTAAAGGTGGGAGGGTATGTGTGTATGTCAGTGTAAAGGTGGGAGGGTATGTGTGTATGTCAGTGTAAAGGTGGGAGGGTATGTGTGTATGTCAGTGTAAAGGTGGGAGGGTATGTGTGTATGTCAGTGTAAAGGTGGGAGGGTATGTGTGTATGTCAGTGTAAAGGTGGGAGGATATGTGTGTATGTCAGTGTAAAGGTGGGAGGATATGTGTGTATGTCAGTGTAAAGGTGGGAGGGTATGTGTGTATGTCAGTGTAAAGTTGGGAGGGTATGTGTGTATGTCAGTGTAAAGGTGGGAGGGTATGTGTGTATGTCAGTGTAAAGGTGGGAGGGTATGTGTGTATGTCAGTGTAAAGTTGGGAGGGTATGTGTGTATGTCAGTGTAAATGTGGGAGGGTATGTGTGTATGTCAGTGTAAAGGTGGGAGGATATGTGTGTATGTCAGTGTAAAGGTGGGAGGGTATGTGTGTATGTCAGTGTAAAGGTGGGAGGGTATGTGTGTATGTCAGTGTAAAGGTGGGAGGGTATGTGTGTATGTCAGTGTAAAGGTGGGAGGGTATGTGTGTATGTCAGTGTAAAGGTGGGAGGGTATGTGTGTATGTCAGTGTAAAGGTGGGAGGGTATGTGTGTATGTGGATGTGGGAGGGTATGTGTGTATGTCAGTGTAAAGGTGGGAGGGTATGTGTGTATGTCAGTGTAAAGTTGGGAGGGTATATGTGTATGTCAGTGTAAATGTGGGAGGGTATGTGTGTATGTCAGTGTAAATGTGGGAGGGTATGTGTGTATGTCAGTGTAAAGGTCGGAGGGAATGTGTGTATGTCAGTGTAAAGGTGGGAGGGTATGTGTGTATGTCAGTGTAAAGGTGGGAGGGTTTGTGTGTATGTCAGTGTAAAGGTGGGAGGGTATGTGTGTATGTCAGTGTAAAGGTGGGAGGGTATGTGTGTATGTCAGTGTAAAGGTGGGAGGGTATGTGTGTATGTCAGTGTAAAGGTGGGAGGGTATGTGTGTATGTCAGTGTAAAGTTGGGAGGGTATGTGTGTATGTCAGTGTAAAGGTGGGAGGGTATGTGTGTATGTCAGTGTAAAGTATGTGGGAGGGTATGTGTGTATGTCAGTGTAAAGGTGGGAGGGTATGTGTGTATGTCAGTGTAAAGGTGGGAGGGTATGTGTGTATGTCAGTGTAAAGGTGGAGGGTATGTGTGTATGTCAGTGTAAAGGTGGGAGGGTATGTGTGTATGTCAGTGTAAAGGTGGGAGGGTATGTGTGTATGTCAGTGTAAAGGTGGGAGGGTATGTGTGTATGTCAGTGTAAAGGTGGAGGGTTTGTGTGTATGTCAGTGTAAAGGTGGGAGGGTATGTGTGTATGTCAGTGTAAAGGTGGGAGGGTATGTGTGTATGTCAGTGTAAAGGTGGGAGGGTATGTGTGAATGTCAGTGTAAAGGTGGGAGGGTATGTGTGTATGTCAGTGTAAAGGTGGGAGGGTATGTGTGTATGTCAGTGTAAAGGTGGGAGGGTATGTGTGTATGTCAGTGTAAAGGTGGGAGGGTATGTGTGTATGTCAGTGTAAATGTGGGAGGGTATGTGTGTATGTCAGTGTAAAGGTGAGTGGAATACTGTGTATGTCAGTGTAAAGGTGGGTAAGTCAGTGTAAAGGTGGGAGGGTATGTGTGTATGTCAGTGTAAATGTGGGAGGGTATGTGTGTATGTCAGTGTAAAGGTGGGTGGGTTTGTGTGTATGTCAGTGTAAAGGTGGGAGGGTATGTGTGTATGTCAGTGTAAAGGTGGGAGGGTATGTGTGAATGTCAGTGTAAAGGTGGGAGGGTATGTGTGTATGTCAGTGTAAAGGTGGGAGGGTATGTGTGTATGTCAGTGTAAAGGTGGGAGGGTATGTGTGTATGTCAGTGTAAAGGTGGGAGGGTATGTGTGTATGTCAGTGTAAAGGTGGGAGGGTATGTGTGTATGTCAGTGTAAAGGTGGGAGGGTATGTGTGTATGTCAGTGTAAAGGTGGGAGGGCATGTGTGTATGTCAGTGTAAAGGTGAAAGGGTATGTGTGTATGTCAGTGTAAAGGTGGGTGGAATACTATGTATGTCAGTGTAAAGGTGGGAGGATATGTGTGTATGTCAGTGTAAAGGTGGGAGGATATGTGTGTATGTCAGTGTAAAGGTGGAGGGTATGTGTGTGTATGTCATGTGTGTGTAAAGGTGGGAGGGTATGTGTGTATGTCAGTGTAAAGGTGGGAGGGTTTTTGTGTATGTCAGTGTAAATGTGGGAGGGTATGTGTGTATGTCAGTGTAAAGGTGGGAGGGTATGTGTGTATGTCAGTGTAAAGGTGGGAGGGTATGTGTGTATGTCAGTGTAAAGGTGGGAGGGTATGTGTGTATGTCAGTGGGAATGTGTGTAATATGTGTGTATGTCAGTGTAAAGGTGGGAGGGTATGTGTGTATGTCAGTGTAAAGGTGGGAGGGTATGTGTGAATGTCAGTGTAAAGGTGGGAGGGATAGTGTGTATGTCAGTGTAAAGGTGGGAGGGTATGTGTGTATGTCAGTGTAAAGGTGGGAGGGTATGTGTGTATGTCAGTGTAAAGGTGGGAGGGTATGTGTGTATGTCAGTGTAAAGGTGGGAGGGTATGTGTGTATATCAGTGTAAAGGTGGGAGGGTATGTGTGTATGTCAGTGTAAAGGTGGGAGGGTATGTGTGTATGTCAGTGTAAAGGTGGGAGGGTATGTGTGTATGTCAGTGTAAAGGTGGGAGGGTATGTGTGGTCAGTGTAAAGGTGGGAGGGTATGTGTGTATGTATGTGTGTATGTCAGTGTAAAGGTGGGAGGGTATGTGTGTATGTCAGTGTAAAGGTGGGAGGGTATGTGTGTATGTCAGTGTAAAGGTGGGAGGGATAGTGTGTATGTCAGTGTAAAGGTGGGAGGGTATGTGTGTATGTCAGTGTAAATGTGGGAGGGTATGTGTGTATGTCAGTGTAAAGGTCGGAGGGAATGTGTGTATGTCAGTGTAAAGGTGGGTGGAATACTG